CCCCTTGACTTTAAAGCTGGATCCGCCCCTGCTTATTTACCTACTGATAAAATTCAGTCCAGTTACTTACAAAAGCAGCATTCGACTAGAAGAAAATGTTTCGACTACTTACTGAATGTACGCTTTTCGGATCGTTGAGCCAAGAATTGTACATGTCCTCCAGATAACTCGCTGATGATCCATCTAAGGGAGGAACCGCAGGAGTAGGAACTCCTTGATCCGCAAGATTAGGAGAAGTTGAAAAAATGCGACTTTTGCCACCGTGGGAAGCGGTTAGCCAGAGTCGCCCTGTCGCAGAAGCCAAATACCCGAACATGTTCCAGTTTAAAGGGAAGTGCGGATATTTTTTGGAAGTTGTACAAAAATTTGAAAAAGTCAGTATTGGCGGTGACAGACTGGCAACAGACAGTCAATAAATCAAAAACGTAATTTTTTGGTTGTTGCAAAAATATAAAAAATAAGAAAATAAAAAAATGCATTCTCAGAGTAGCGCTTGAATGATATAATCTAACACTCGAACAGGCGGAGACAAAAATCGCCAGAAATCCCGGAAAGTTTTACTAAATTATAAGTTCGTTACAATAAGAGATATGGTGCATACAACGAAAACTCCTGTAGAATTGATTTTTAAATATATGTATTTAAATCAAATCAAAATGTTACAATATAATATATCTCATAATATACTAACAAAAAGCGATCATAGTAAAATGATAAATATAATAATCTAAAACAAACAAAAGGAGAGGAATCTGGTCAAATATAATTAAGTACGTTTAATAGGTAGTAGGTATTAAAAAAATATTTGTATAATATAAGGATTCCATTGTCTTATGGCTAAGAATCTAAAATATGACAGCTGAGGCTGAAATATGTGGCAAACTGCCGCAGGTCAATAGAAACCTGCGGGAATTCCTGGTAACTATATACTAAGGGCGAAGTAAAACTAAATAAAAATTCTGTTGTTTTGTCTTCGTAAATTCCTAAAACGTAGGTTTAGCGAGTAAACTGGCACCTTATGGCAAAACAAATTTCAACTTAACGGTAAATTGTGCATAGTTGTGGCGACTTTCAGGACGGCGGTCCTGCAGATTAGACAATTTAGTAAATAGGTCTTAGAAAAGTTGATACAAAATTAGAAAAGGGTTTTACAGGTACACACAAAATTTTCTTTGAAACATTTAGTAGATGTTTCATTCTGAAACTGTTCTCGAAAAGCCCAACAACTCACAGTTTGACAAAGAGAATCGGAAATATTGCACTGTTGCGGTTTTTGGGTTTTTTTTCAAAACAGCTCTATATATTGCAACTTATCCCATTTTGAGAAAGCTGGTACACTATCCTTGTAAGCATTAGAACATGTTTGGAAAACCATCAGTGGCAGCGGGACGGTAGACAATATTGGAAATATAGAGCGTGGGGGGGTGCAAAACCTACATAAGCCCATACCAGGTGCTTAAAAAAATTTAATTTTTATTGAACACCCGGTATATACATTAATATTATCTCCGTTCAGGTAACTATCTTCTCAGTCCATCCGTTTCAGCATGCAAGGCAGTTTGACTGATATGAATTTACATAAAAATATACAGGGCGCTCGGTTTTGCGCCCTGGATCAGATATGACAACATGGCACTACTAACTCTATGTCTTTCTTGAAGGTGTCTTTTACGAGTATTTTCGGCAAATTCGGTCGACAGAACAAATTAAATATAATAAATATACAAAACAAAACAATACGCAAAAAAACGATCTAGGTAACTTTCTTTTTTTCAAATACTTTTGTATAATATACTTTTGTAAATAGTGTAAATAAAATATCTTTTTTTTTTTCGTTTAAGTTTAAGTATATACAAAAATGTGCCTTGACTAGGGATATCGCATTTGTTAAGAGATTGCCGCGCCGTTGCGCGGTGGTAACATTGAAAAAATATTCTGTTAAAACCTACAAATTTACACTTATCGTATCACTTAACATTACGAAAATTATAGTTAAAAGTTTCTGCTTCCGAGTATTGTTCATCAGGTCTATAGTACCGTCTTTTTACACTTATTTATACAACAAGCGGCTTGGATGGTTGGTGCTTTTTAATCTAATCACTTCTGATTTTTAGGAAAAAAAACGTTTTTCGTTTGACTTGGATTTTTCCTGTGGTTGTTTTGAAAATTGCACTAATTTTTTTATTTAAAAGTTCAACATTTTAAAAAGGACAAGGTTTTTATTAAGGGTGTTTGGCATTATCTCAGGCAAACGTATCAGTAGCTTTTTGTATGATTTCTTTAATATGCCTTATGCGAAAAAGGCCCAGTTTTCGATCTACAAGATCTCAAAGTTCGATTTGAAGTAGCACAATTTATCACTATTAAAAACATATATTCGAATGACATTTTCTATGTACTTAACGTACGTACTGCAAGCGAAGTTAATATTTTTTAGGAAACCTTCCTATGCAACTTAAAAAGTAGTGTTCGATGTTTTTTTCCAAAAAATAACTCTTTTTAATTAAACATAAAAACTTTTTAAATCGGAACCTGGTTTTTGTTGATCATATTTTAAATGAACAGTTTTCTCTTAATGATTGAGCAAAATTACAAGTGATTGATGCTGGTGAGTTTTTCGGGTTTTCAGACCGTCGTGGAAAAAATAATTTCTTCCTGGCGTTTTGCAAACACGAGTGGTTTGCATCTTCGCAGGGGGTTTGCTGATCGCAGCAAAAACCTCACAAATTAGTAGCCAATGTTTCTTGAAACTGGTGAGCCTAAGTTTTTCATTTAAAATAAGCGACTTTCAGTTGCTTTATCATGAAAAATAATGCAGAAATTTAAAGTAATTTAATTTCAAACTGATCTAGTTAAAAAGCACAACTTTATAGTTCCAAGCCGCCCTTCCTATCCATCCACAGATAAAGTGACAAAATGCTTAAAAGTGCTAGATTATCGTAGTATGTATAACAACATTTATAAAAAATTAATTACCTTTGCTATAGCAATACATTTAACTTAAGTACTGAGTAGAGTTAATTAATATACGAGATAAGAGGGCGAGTCTAGGAAACACCTACAGTTTGACACAACACCCAAATTAAGGGACATACCTAAGTACAGAATGCGCAACGAAACGACGACTTTAAAATTCCATTTAGCTACAATTCATTTATAAAATGCATATTCAGGAAGCTTATCTTCTCTGCCCATTCTGTTCGCACTCCATAGCGGTCACTCTACAAGCCTAAGATATGATTCTTGGTTGACTTGTTTGGAAAATTCCAGTTATATTGATCAGAGCAAGAATTTTGTGAATTTAAATGGGTATTTGGAGGAAGTTACACACGTTTGAAAGAGTTAGAAACATTTCGGGATCAGGAGAAGCCGGGCATTAGAAAATTAGGCCGCGATTACTGAATATGGAATGTAGGTACTAGGAGGCTACATTTTGCGGTTGATCAGTTGAATCAAAGCCCTCCTGCCCAGGCCCGAAACGACTCGAGTTCATAATTATGGTTTTCTTTAATAAAATAAACGATCTAATCTACTTACGATATAACGAATCACAAAGAACTTAGTTCATATCACGTTTGGAGAGTTTTGTTAATCTTACTGTTACGAAACAATGATCTACTTATCATCGGTTTTCGTCCTAAACTTCTTCTAGCAGGGCTGTTTGGATCGAACAGGTCAATGCCAAAAACCCCACCAAAACGAAGTGGCAATTCAAAGAGAAACATTTTACTTATCCTAGAAAGGCAGGCTAGCGACGAACATCTTCTCTATAAGAGGAGGCGCTGGCACCAGATCTTCCAGCTTCAGATAGAAGATCCGTTGCAGGCCAGCAACGCTCAGCGATCTCAGCTCGGGCAACTTTCCCAACAGCCGGCTGAAGTAGTGCGCTTTGCGTTGAGCCTCTGCATTATAAGTGACGTGGTCGCGTAGCGACGATATGATCTTCATCTGCAACTGCTCCACTTTGTGAGACTCTTTTAGACCGTGCCGCTCTGGAATAGAGTTACTGATTAGTGCCGCCTCTAGATCAATGCCAGTTTCTCTTTAAAGTTACACCAGACTTTTTATGCAACATACAGTCGCTCAAACAAGTGAGACTTGCGAAAGACTTGGTAAATGAGACCCTTTTTAGAAACGAGTGAAACTGATCATCGGGAAACTACACGTCCACGTCCACGTCCGGGCTAAATTATGCGGAAGAATACAGGCAAAATGTGGAGAAATGCAAGCACGGCAATAAAAAAGTTTGCCTCAATTTCTGTTCGAAACAGTTGCTTGATTTCAAAGCATTTTAGAAACGTAGACCTGCCTGTTGTTGCTTTGTCTGTCCCAATTTCCCTTCACTAAATTATCGATGATTTCATTCCGTGATCTAATTTTCCCAAGTCAAAACCGATTCGATTATAAATGAAATAATCGTCGGTTTTCAATCAAGCTCGTTATAACCGGAATGCATGATTTATTAAACCAGAATACACCGGGAGGTTTTAATAATTGAACGGAAGGTTTTGGCGTGCAATCACCTGTCACTAGGTTTTCCGCTTTTTTCTTCGACTTCATAAATAAAACATTGATACGTGTTTTGCGCTCGATATGGGCATTATTAATGCTTTTGGGCATCGAGGATACTTCCATTTCGATATCAATTTTTCCGTGAAACCACAAAGGTTTTTCATTGGCACCAATATGATTTCAACAAAACAGCCAGTAAAATTTACTATAAGGTAAGCGTGATGATTTGTTGAACCGGACAAATGCTACAAAAGCGCAGTTTTTCCATTCATACTAGGCCTGGGTAACACTGTGTTGAGTTGCGCTATTGAGTTCTTGCCGCTCTCTGAGTTAACAAGTTCTCTCATCGGTTCATGAGTTGCAATTCATTTATTAAGACTAGGAGACCCGAGACTGGAATTTTCACATCTAAAAAAGAGTTATTGAAATTTTTTCTGAATAGCGTTTTACTACTTTGTTCAAACAACTAAAAAATAGTAATCTATATTCTCCCAACAACAAAACTGAGTTCAAAGAAAGTCGACGAGTTGTCTTGTAAAATCGATCTCTTATTTTTTTTGCATAAAAGAATCAGTTTGCCAGTATTTTTCAGTAAAACGTTAGGAAAAACGCGGTTTTTCTGTTTAGAGACAGTGTTGTTTAGAAATATTGACCTAAAAGTGAAGAAACTTCAGTTTCCAAGGGTTTTTCAAATAAATAATTATAAACTTTCGCTTTTTCAGTTCGGGAAAATTTTTTTGGAAAAATACCTAAAACTAGTTATTAGGGTTTTATCCATAATTCGAAGCTGCGAAAAGTTTTCCACACATTTTTGCAAAGCGGTTAAGGAGGCGAGCGTTTCAATCAAAATTATCTTCTAATTTCTCACAGAAAATACCTGAAGATTGCCAGTATTTTAAGGAAAACTAAAAAATAATGCGATTTTTGCGTAGAAATAATTGCTTAATGAAAATTTAAAGAAACTTTAAAAGTCTTCAGAGCGACGAGGGCGGCGAATTCTCCCAATATTTGTTTAGTAAACTTTTGCTCGCGGGTCGTTTTTTCAAGATAGTCTTAACTACTTTTAGTAAAAAACTGAATAAAATTAATTGGTTTTTGTGACAAATTCGAAGCTGAAATGGGTTTTCCCTGCAAACCGATGAATGAGGCGAATTTTCTAGCAAAATTAATTTGCAAATTTTTGACAGAAAACACCCCATTATTGTCAGAAAATCATTTTCTTTCGTTTTCGATTTAAAACTTTTAGTTTTGCGATCGGTTTTGCAGAAAACCTTGATGGTTTTCGGAAAAAGCCGGTAGGAATTTATTTTTGTTTTATCCCCAATTTGACGCTGAAAAGTGTTTCGAACATTTTTACAAAGTTATAAATTTATTTTGTAAATTTTCGGGTAAAAGTCCTCCACATTGTCAGTATTATTAAGTGAAACTCTACAAAATAGAGCGTTTTTGAGTAGAAAGTAAAGCAAAAAAATTTAGTCAAAACTWAAAAAACACATTTTTTAACAAATTTTACAGTCTTCTGTTAAATTAATCTGTTATAAACTTTCGCTTATCCTGTTCATTTTTTGATAGAAAATTTTTTAATTTTTGTTCCAAATTCGTCGCTGGAAAGGGATTTCAGAACTTTTTACAAAGCGACGAAGGATTCGAAATTTATTTAATGATTTTGCGCGAAAAATAGCTTAAGATTGTCAGCATTTTTAAGTGAAACTTTAGGAAATTGAGTATCTAGAAGAAAGAATAATTCATACGATGCCAACAAATGCGCGGTTGTCTTTACGTCCTCTTAGGTTCGCGGTCATTCGTTCCGTTCTTCCGGCGCAATAAACGCGCGTTCGTTACGTTCGTCTCATGCTTGAACGAATGCGCGCTTATCGTGTGTACCTTTATTGAAGTAAGGGTTATGGACTTATTCATTCCATTCGTCCGATGCAACAAACGCGCGCTCGTTTCATTCCTCCGATGGGAAAAAATGCGTTTGTGCCATTCGTCTGATATATAATTTCCCTATTTTAATTAGGATAGCGCACATACATACCGGATCGTAAGCATAATGAAAAATGTAAACGTCCAATAAGTAAATATGTGCGTTACTCATTCAAAAAAGGCAAATGTTCATTTTGATTCGTTCCGTTCGTTCGATGCAAACAGTTCCGCATTTTTCTTAAATCAACTTCCCCGCTCGTTCATTTCTTTCAAAGTCCGTAAACCGGCGAAACAACGCAATTTCCGAATTGCACCCCAAAGAGTTTGATGCTGACATTTTGCTTGATCAGGATGTTCCTGCTTATAGTTTCCCCGTAAAATCTGCCTCTTATTGGCATGTTTTTGTGATTGCATTCTGGTGCATTGTTTTGTGAAGACAAACCAATTTGCAACTGAAAATTCCTAATTGCCTTAAAACAGTTCGGGATTTTAAAAATCCACATTTGCGTTTTTCCAGGCTTGAAACTGAACTGATTCAGTTTGTTTAAATTGTTTGATTGATTGAGACAACGATACAAATAATTTTCAAAAATTTAAGATTCCATTTAAAATAAATCAAGTAATTATGTTCATTCGTTCCGTTAGTCCGATGCGAATAACTGGATATTAATACGGTATGAAGGACCAATAATTAAAAGAAAAGCCAAACAAAACAAATCCACATTATTCTGTAAATTACTGAAAAAGGCTAATAACTGAAGGAAAAGAAGAGAAAAAAAAACAACCACTTACCCCTACCTGTAATAAGTGTGAGGGCGCACAAGCAGGCAAAAGCCGATATGTCGATTTCCATTGCATGGAGCCCAGAGCAGAATTCCATGATTCCATGCAACCAATCGCCGAACGAGCGCTGGCACTGTTGCATATCCAGAACCATGCCGTTGCAGAAGGTCAGTTTGGTGTCGTTCGGATGCGTTCGGTAGGACAAGCGAAGGACGAACAGCTCCAAGTATGCGGACTGGAACAGCAGTTCCCGATCTTCCTGGCAAATATCCTGCAAGAACCCACAACTTTCAAATACCAACGACCCTAAAGGGCGAAGCGAACCTACCAAGAATCCTGGAATTTTATCAGCAAAGCTCTTGATAACGTCAACCGATGTGGTTAACAAGGAGTAGAATTGCTGAATTTTTTCAACTTCTGAGATCACTGGTTCTATAGGAGAGGGTTCCATGTATTGGGAGTAGTCCAGGTTGGCCAGGTCTGGAGTGGTGTCCACATGCGCTCGCACCAGAGCCGTAATGAGTGAAACCGGAGGACTGGGCGGAGACTCTTGAGGAGACTTTGGCTTCGAAGGCAGCCGCCCTCTGCGCCCTTTCAGCGAGTCCGTCCGCACCACTTCTTTCACCATTCCAACGGCGAGGCATTTCTGGAAGCGGCAAAACTGGCATCGATTCCGCCGCCTTTTGTCCACCGGACACGCCTTGTCTGCCAGGCAAACGTACTTCGAGCCCTTCTGGACCGTTCGTTTGAAGAAACCTTTGCAACCTGCCAAAAAACCAATCGCTCAAGACTTCCAAGTGAGTGAAAACAGTGACTTTACCTTCGCACGTCCTCACTCCATAGTGCTGGCAAGCAGCCGTATCCCCGCACACAGCGCAAAGTTGCGAGGGAGAAGGAGGCGTGGGACCTTTGGAGGTTTGGGGCTGCTGGTCGCCTGGCCCTCCAGGCGAAGAAGCTGCTGAGGAGGAGGCCGAAGGCCCAGTGCCCACCATTCGCAGCTTGGGGCTTTCGCTGCTGCTGGTTGACTCACTTCGCTGCAGAGGAAGTGAGGCTCTTCTCTGTCTGAGATGGGAATTAAGGAACAGAGTGAGGTGAGAGTCGAGGGAAATTTTCATAAAAATTCCGACAATTTGAGAAAATAGTTAATGTTTACGTGAGAAAACAAGACGGTTCTTTGTGCGTTTTCATTCTCAAACGTGGGGTGGACTATAATTTCTTCATTTCTAACTTATTTATTAATTTTCTTCATCTTCACCTAGTGGGGATATTAGTCGCCAATTAAACCGTAAATTAAGACTTAGGTAAATGCACATGCGGTGGCAAAGGAAAAGAACCAGAAACCGCCAAATAAAGAAAGAAAAAGGACTATATGCGGATGACACTATGTTGTTAGCTGGACAAAGGATAAAACCATGAATACTAACAAACAAGAACTTGAAGCAAAGGAAGACTACTAAATAGGAAGTTTATCAAATAGTTCTTACCTTGGACTTAAAGCAGTACTGACATGCAGCTCCGTGGCTGAAGGTACCTGGTAAGTGGGCAAAGAGTAAGATTCCCCACTTTGGGCCATGAGAGCGTCGAAACTGGGACTGCAAGTGGGAGGCGGAGGGTAGTAGGGACTGGCTACTGGATACTGATGGAGTTGTTGGTACTCGTAGTGGTGCGATGTTGGTACCGGATGGTACGGAGCCACGTTAAAGCTGAACCGACGCCAAGATTAGCCTGATTTCTTAAGTGCGCACTCAGTATGTTGCTTACCCGCAGTCTTCGTCCATTTTGAACTGCTGTTGCTGTTGCTGCTGCGGCGGCAAGTCTTGGGCGGTTTGGGGCTGTTGTTGTTGGAACACCCTATAAGTTTCCTGCAAAAAACAGTCGTCTATAAGAAAGACAGTCATTTAATCGACCACATTTACATTCCTATGTCCTCACTGTGTCATTCCCCAATTTCCAAATAACTACCGGTTTATCCTAATCTAGTTCAGTGACGCATTTAAAAATCTTGTCGTAAACTATCACAGAATGAAACCATGTTGTATTTTCCGGTTAAGATGACGTGAAGGAATCAAAAACCACATTCGAGTGTGATCATACAATTTCGTCAATGAAACCGTTTGCACGATGAAAACTCGAACCCAATTACCACTAATTTATCTAAGAATGAACCATTAAAACCAACGTCAAACTGGAATCTAATTTGAATATAATCCTCTTAATGTCTTGCAAAGTCCGTGTCAGAAGCAACCCAAGGGCGCCGAGTCCACACAACGCTATTAGAACCCATTAAAGCAAAAATCAGCGTATCAAATTTTATGTATATTTAGAAAAGATCATGACAGCCACATGAATATAAACGGTTCAGGTGTGCTCTTACTCAGGTGCCGTGAGTCATAATGAAAATTTTGTAGAACCGCGCGCGAGGTCCAGGGAGTCGATAAACTTTCCTATTTAATGTGATATGAAGACCAATATATTTCATAGTTGATGACTTCCTCAATAATCGCTTTGATATTAAGATGTGTCTGAGGTGGAGGCGAATCGCCGTTGGAAATGTATGGGTTTTAAGGCTTTGCTGGCATGTCATTTGCAGGAAACCTGCTGGAGTATTTGCAAAGGATTGGCTGATTAATTATGAATTATTATATATTTTTTAGTCGTCGAGTAGGCTTGGTTACAAGTGTTCCAATAAACTTTAAAAAAATTATCAGGTTGCAGACTCTCGGGATCATTTAGTATTATCATTATAAGCATGTTGATTCTAAAGCGTGAAAACATACACAATTATAGTGGGAACGGCCAATTTTTGGTGTGGGACTGGTGAGTTTTTCGGGCTTTTAAAGTCATGAAAGCGTCTTTAAGCGCAAGTGAAAAGTGATCCAAATCTGAGGACGAGAGCCTGAAAAATCAGCTTCAAGCAATGACCGCGAAGGCCAAAGTCTTTTCATGTGACTGCACAATTTTTTCTGACTCTATTCTAAAACAGACTGGAAATACTTTTAAATGTGTCGAGTAATTGGTGCTATAATGAAAGAGTTTTATAATTTTTTTCTTCGCACTTGTAAAATGTGTGTATTTGAAATACACTTTTGATTTTCTTTGCACAGTTTCTTGTTGCAGTTGTTGCTACTCAATACACATTCATTTTCTCTGCTGTTTTACAACTTTCTCCAGTCTCAGTTTTCACATTCAAGAGTCACGTGTTTGTTCCTAAATCGAACTTTTCAAATTTTTCCTACACTAGTTTCTCATAAAAGGTGAAAATAAGTAGACAATCTCACAAAGAAAAGATACGACAAAAAAATCAAAGGTCAAATTGTAATTGAAGAACGAAGTATCGGATTTGACGGTTTTTTTTCGTATTTTAGTCGCCTTTCAACTTTCAAGTTCAAAGTTTCAACATGTGAATTTCCGCTGAACGCTACTTTCAAAATTTTCCAAATTATATGGAGCGAATTTTTTCCAAAAATCCTACGCTTTTCTTGAACGGCTATTTAAATCACTAATTAGCAAACGTTTTGAAAAATGCAATTTACCTGAATTATCGATTACCAGACAGCAAAAGTTCTCCTCTAACCTTAGCGCCTGAGAAAAATTTTAGAAATGTAGGTTTATTGCAATTGTGAGTAAACTTTCGATAATGCGAAATAATTTGCATAAACACCGTTTTCTTGCCCTTTTAAACCTTTTACAAAATTGGATACAAAAAATAACACAAATCACATGAACACTTTTTTGCTTAACTTTTCTAAACGTTTTCTTTGGAACAAACGGTTTTAATCGCAAATTTACATTTTCTTTTCATCGGAAATTCGAAGAAAGAAATCATTGATTGACTTGTGATGTTTTTGTGCTTCTAAAAAGTGCATGAACTGAAGTACCAAAAAAAAGATTTTGGTATACTTTGCTTTTTTCTATCTCCGCCTTCGCAAAAGCTTCAAAAAATTTAAACAATTTGTTTCAATGCAACTTCTTTTGTCTAAAGATTACGCATCGTGATCTTTAATATATTTCTTAAGACACAAGTTATTAGAGTTTTAGACTTTTTTACCTTTATTGTCTTGTAATAGGGTCAATGCGGGTAAAAGCGAGTTTTTCAAAATTTTTAAGAATTGTCAGTTCAAGTTACCATAAAAAATTCGTTTATCTGATTGAAAAGTCTGCTGCTCAGAAATTAGCATTTAGTTCTGACACATTTACTCAATAAAAAAAATCAAGAAACTTGGTGGTGTTCGATCTACAAAAATTTCAGAATTATTGGCCTTCGATTGGATAAGCTTAAGAAAATGCATTATTGAGAAACTACAAAAGCGGAAAATCAAATTTTTAACTTTGAACCTAAAAGCTCAACTGAAAACACGAAAAAAACATTGTAAAATTGTGTCATTTGCATTTCACTGTAAATTTTCTAGAAATTCAAATTTAATTTATAAATTTGTATTTTTTGCTATGGAAATATGCCAGTTTAGATGTCCGAGGAAAATTTGACGTGTTTTTGGTATTTAAACCTTTTTCCAAGGCTAATGTCGAAATTGAAATAAATGATTTTGATTTCGTTAATCTAATTTTAAAATGATTTATTCACAATTCGAAGGAAAAACATTCCAGTGGAAAACACAATTTGTATTTTCCGGGGAAACTGTATGAAAATAAGCAAAGTTAACTAATTTTGTATGTAACCGATTTTCGGACCATTTTCAAACAGTTTTCCTGAAAAAAAGTCAATGAATGCAAAATGGGCAATTTTCGGTTCTTTTGAGCTTTTTTGAAGTTGAAGACCGTTTAGACCCGGAAAATATTGCACCTCCAAAGAAAACCCAACATACCTTTGCAATAAAAAGTAGCTCCTGAAAGCCAACAAACGATGCTTTTTACCAGGATAATTTCGGTTAAACCCAAAAAATAAATTGCGGATTATTTCCATGGTGGTACTCTTACCTGAAAACTAGGTAAAGGTGCAGGAGAAGAGGGCGGCGGTAGTGCCACGTCTGCAAAAGGATCGAGATCTTCAGGGGTGTGATGCAAAAGGTCGGAGGGTTCGTCTGAAAATGGGGCATTCAGCAGATCTGCGAAGCTGCCAGAACCAAATTGGGTCTGAAACGAAGACAAAAAAATTAACCGATGCTTTGATTAGTTAACGAAAATCGATAGTAGTAATTGTCGTTAAAGGAATGTGCAAAGTACCAATCGAGCTCAGCCCATAAATAGTTCGGTGCACCTGATGCTCGATATAAATTCGCTCGTCGTGGTCGCTTCGATCAAGATTGATCGCTAATTATACGCATTGTCCAGAGGTGATTTCCTGCTGTTGTTGCGCTTTTTAATTTCCATTTTATCGTTCAGTTTGCTCGTTTATTTCGCATACTTCATGAATACATTTATCCATCCAACTCTATCGACAATTGAGCGGTTACACAAGCGAAGCTTGCATTGAATGTTTGTGGGACTGAGCAAGTATTTTGTTGTGCACATTTCGTCACTCTTTGCTGCCAAACAATGGCAACAAAGATGGAACGCGTATTTTTAGAGGTGCCTAACCACGTCACAGATTCCGGATTGTCAATTAAAATATCTTCGAAACAGGCATTTGGCCTTGTTAATGCCACAAGCACCGATCTAGTTTTAATTGTGGGTATCAGGATGTTGAGTATTGCTAGCAACAATTTTCAATTCTGATCTCGATTTGTCGGCTGCAACGAAAAACCAACCAAACGCAAAATTCCAATTAGAACAGTTATTGCCATAAGATACCAAACCAAGAAAGATGTACATTTTTGTGCCACTTTCACCGTGATTATTGTCGTTACGCAATCATCTACGTTAGATTTCCCCATGTACAAGATGCGCCCAGTTTCGTTGCTAATCTTGGCCATAATGGACCGTAATGCCAATAGAGAGCACCCATTTATGGACAATTAGGATGAAATGCGACTCTCATGCGCTTCAATTCATTCAATTTCGAAAGTTTGGCCAGTGGGAAGCAATTTCATTCTTCCAATTATTGCAAATCTACGCAAAAATAATCCACTCGACCAACTAGAGATGAGCAGTTGACTGTTATATGAATAAAGTTTTACGGTGCGAGTCCTAAAGGGATTATTCATATTTCAACTTTTCCTATTTTAGCAATTTTATATTGTTAACAATGTAAAATGGGGGCAGGAAAATCCGGTCACCCTGTACATGGAAAACGGGCGGCGACGCAAAATCGTTATCAGTAAATGTACATTTTTTGCCTTTCAAAAACAGCGAAGATTGAAAGCAAAATCTTAATAATGCGACATTCAGCGCTTTAAGAAAATAAAGTTATGTTTTCCACAAATTGAGTAAAGTTTGAGCAAATTTTATCATTTGCTCTAACCAATTGCGTTTACTCTTTCCACAGCGGAGACTTTAGAAATCAATAGATAATCGAGAAATAATGTAAGTTCGCTTGCCGTTTTACTCCAAAAAATGTTTCGCTAAGGCATCGAGCATAAAATCGAACGAAAGCTTTTTTAATCCTTATAAAACCAGTGGCGTGTCTTTGTTTTCTTTAAAAATATTCTGCGATGTACCTCTACGGACGTTACTCTCACGAGAAAATCTTTCTAAAAGCTACCGCCTCTGGAATTTGATTCAAGGATCTTCAGGCGGTTAGCAGCAATTAATACATTTTTTGCAAAATTTAACACCCTGTATTTCCTTAACGAAGTATTTTACAATGTGGTTGATAAAGTTCCGGATAGTGGCCTAACCTGTATATTGTTAAATTCATTTTTTAAATGTTTTATTTCTTCGTAAAACACTCTAAAAGTACATAAATGTTACGCGTTTCTTAAATGTAATATATGCAATGTATAAAAATTGCTGTATTAAAAATCTCGACAAAAGCAATTTCTGACAATTTTAAAGGTTTTACAACAGCAAAACATTGACAACATTCATCTGTTTTGATAAAACGAAAAAATTGTGTAAAATGAAAAACCAGGAAAGAGTTTTTGCAAATTTTGTATTTTTTGCAGCTGCCTTCGCAAAAGCTTCAAAAAATCTAAACTCCGTTAAATGCAAATTATTTCGTGCAATTAACAACTTAGCTATTATTGCCATCATAAGAAATTTTCTAAACATTTTCTAAGACTAATCCAGTCAATGCATGTAAATCGAACGTTAAACGTAAATTGTTTCTCAAATATTCTAAAAGCACAGAAATCTTACACGTGTTTACTTATGTAAATAAATTCTCTTATACGGAGTGAAATTTTAGAAAAAATCGTAAAGGAAAAAAAGATAAACGGTATATAAACTCGGTTAAACGGGAAATATTTTTCATTTTATGAGTTGGGTTTAAAGTATGTATATTTAAGATTTTAAGTGTCAATTGGTTACTTACTTAAAGGGAGGATATATTGAGGAAATTTATAGAGGAACTGAGAATAATGGAGGATTTTGAGAGTCAAACAGGCTAATTTTTAGCTACAAACGTTCTGTTCCGTTTTTTCGGTAACGTTTAATTCTTTTTTGAGGGCTAAAGCTCAGATTGAAGAGTTGATAGAACAAATACAGTTAACGCTGATAGTAAATAATAAAAATAAATAATAAAATTAAAAATAGAAATTATGACCAAAAATAGATCAAGAAGTATTGTGGTTTATTAGAAGTTTGAAAAAGTTGATATAATCCGTAAAATTCTTCATACGCTTTGCTTCTTGTTTTTTTGATCCAACTGATTTCAGTCCATTAAGGAACAGTTATTTATGAGAGATTAATTTCAAAATTGAGACGAACATAAACACAAAAAATTGACGAAACCTGCGAATTATTGAGTGGTTGATTTCCCAGGGTTGAACCAATTTTTCTTGATTTTTTTTGGAGACCAAAAGTAGCTTTTTTATGATCGACCGCTCTGTTTAAGCTCAAATTCATCAGGACTGAAAAATCATACAAAACACCAAATCAGCAGAGTAGAAGAATTTGTCAATCCAATTTAAATGTAATAATAGAGTTTGGAGTCTGAAGCGAAATACATTTGTTTTTAATTACTAACATTGTTAATATTTTTTTAAATTTTTAGCTGTTTATAGTTTGTCCGAAGATTTGTGGCAGTGACCCAATAATTGTTGTTCTTTTTCTATTACTTGTCTATCCAGCGAGACAGAAATTTGATGTTATTAACGTATGTTTTTCATCAAATTGTGGCAATTCGCAGAAGTATGGAATAAAATTAAAATTATTTGTTTGATTGCTTGGCCAGTGAGTGTTGCCAGTTTCTGTGAATTTTCCCAAGTTTTCCATTCAATTTATCGAGACATTTATTTATGTGCGTGTTATTTTCGGGAGCCAAATTGTGACGGCAAACAAGGGTATATTTTGCTCAAATTTTCACCACCGTCGCTTAGATTTTGCACGATTTCCTTATTTTTCTCTGCTAATTTCTTCATAATTTGACACACTTTAACAAGTCTTGTACAATTGAGGCAAATTAATAACGAAACTGAAGAAATTGACTAATTTTCCCAATTAATTGTTTACATTCTGCAAATTTATCCTCACTTTTGCACCTTAAAATAATTTAAATGCCACGTTGTCGACTGCTTTCGCAAAAGTGAATTGGTATTTTATAGAGAAAAATTTAATTTCTGCACATCAAACAATACTAATAACGGATGTTCAATTCATAAACAATGAAAAATAAAACTCCAATAAACTCGTCCTATAACAATAATATGCGATTCAACACAAATAAATCTTTGGAGAGCAAACGCTCAAGCTGAAACTCCCGCAATATGAAAGAAACTTTTTCGAGTTTTTCCGCCCAATCTCGGACATCAGTAAATGTCAATATGACGTCTGAAGTAATGACGTCACTGCCAAATGGCTTGGGACGGACTGTAATGTCACTAAGTGCGTTTTAGACTCGTTAAAGTTTGCTTGAAAGTTCGCACTTTTTTGAAATTAACTCCATCAAAGAATTCAAGTGGAGTTAGATCAGGCATTCGAAGCGGCCAGTAAATAAAATCATTGAAACCAGTTAATGGATGTAAAGAAAATGACGAGAGAGCGATTGATAATGATATTTTGACTGCATAAGTAGACCAAAAATAGATGGATGTTGCAGGTAAATTATGTGATAGCGAATTAATTAAGAGCAAGAAGTAATGGGATTAATGGAAAATTGAAAAGTGTTTGATTTCCTAGTGTGCGCATATAAAATGCAAGAGAAACAAGCAACTTTTCCAGTCCAGTTTCGGGGAGAAAAACGCAATTTTTTGGGTTATTTTGCTTTTTAAGCCGTTGAAGTGGCAAAGTAGCCCATTGTGTTAGATGAGTTGCAAATTTGACAAGATTTGACTCTCTCGTACCCACTCAATTAGCAATTTTAGAGGCGAAAGAATGAAAACACGAGCTCAGGCAAACAGTGAAACATTGAAAAGAAATTTACTCACAACCGCTAAATTCGGCACTAGTAGACCGATCGGTACCGTTTTTACCTACCACCTGATCGGTACTACGCGATTACCGTTGCTGGTACCACCACGCACTTGCCTAGCGGTACCGTGAAAACTCCGACACGCAATAATATCGCTCACATTCACTATTTCCTACTGAACAAACAACTAGTTCACTTATCTCGCCTATGTGAAAAGTCCCCCTTTTCAATTGTGTTTGGAAGTGCTGGTCGAGGGGAAACCGACTGTGACCAGGGGCGTGGTTTGGGCCAGTCCGGTCCCGGATTGGCCTGGCGCCGTCGTGCATCGGAGACGTCGCTACGGGAACGCGGCGTCGGCGTCGCGACATTCTCCGGAAAATTGGGCGCGTCCCACTGGGAGGATGTGTGGGCTATGCGAGCGTCCACTTTTCCGATTGGTCCGTCGATTTACGTCATCGACTGGAAAATTGACCGCTGGTCCATCCCAAGTGACTTGATTTGAGTAGGTCAGGGCAGTTTAATTTGCAATAAATTGCCAGTTTTCCTCTGTTTCGATGCAAATGCAAACCGGCTAAGTTAGTCCTCAGCCACGCCGACAATCTGTCAATAATGGGCGTTTGAAATCGGTTTATTGATAGCTGAAGTCGGCACCGACAAGGGCAATTAATATTTGAATTGATATGGACTTGTCTGCACTATAATCAAGTATGATCAAGCACATAGTCGGTGGCTGGGGAATGCAACAGCAAAATTTTGCGGAATGTGGCAGGTTAATCGGGTGATTTTTCGCATTGAAACCCATTTGTTCAGTTGAGTCCACTGCGAAACTTCAGAGGTATTTCGGGCCTTGCCCAAGGCCTTCGATCGCGTCGAAACAGTTTGGATTACTTCGACTCCAAGCTAATCATCTCGATTTATTTTGTGTAAACTATTCAATTATTGATCATGTTCACAAAACGTTCTTTCGGAATCAAAATCACTTCGGCAAATCTGCGGAACTCCGGGAGTGTAAAAATAGACACACACAGTTGTATGTACGCCAACCACCATAACTCTTGGTGGAAATGAAACGTTTTGTGACAACAAGCCTGGTAATTACCGTAATTCGGATAATGGAGAAAAGTTCTTTGATAAATCACCGGCTGCAGGGTACCGAATCAGTACCGGCACCGGATGAGTTATGGCACTTTTTACGCCCCTCTAAAATGAAATTGTTTAGTGGACGTGACAAATCGAAAATGGGTTTTGCCAATTATCCGGCAAGTGGACATTCAATTAGAGCCATTGTAGACGCGATTTATTGTACCAGATAGTTGCGATCAGTCAGGATTTTTCTTTAGCTGCGCCAAATGGGAGAGTGGCTCCAAGTTCTTAAAGCAGTGCAGGGTCGCAAGCAACGCAAATCTATTCAGTTTTTCCGGTAAACTTTGCACTTGGTCTTATTTAATCATTCGTTTGAATTAGGCATATTTTTTTTTAAACGATTAACAATTTATTTAATGAATTATCCGCCAGCTATTCTTTTCGATTTATGTTCTCCTTTGTTTTATTGAATACTGGTTCCTCTAATTTGTTGGTTCCCTCTTGTGAAGCACCCTTTACACGTTAGTTTTCCGCTAAATTTGCGGCATTGAAATGCATTTCATAATCTGCTTTCAAGTGATTCGGTTTTCAATTGCTTATGTTTGTTGGACTAGTTCTTTTTACTCTTTTAGACTTCTGTACTGTTCGTCGCTTTACAATTCCATTTTAACACACTGGTCGAAGAAGAGGGTTTCTAATGTGTTTTCTAGTTGTGAAAAAGTTACGTGTTTATTAATTGTTCTAGAAAGTACTGAAAATTTCTTAAAAGTATGCTGATTTAGTATGTATTTTGTATTTACTCCCATGCAAGTTTGCCAACGGGTTCTATACTTTTTTCTAAACGCTCTAAAAAATTATTTACAAGTGATTTACACGCAAATAACTTTTTCAACATTTTGACTGAAAAAAAGTTGATTAAACCCTGCTAAAAGTAATTTTCTTTTCTAAGCCCGAAATGCGCTTTTTTTTATTTGAAAATTTGTTGACCTTTTCATGTAATTGTACACGAATTTTCGATGAATTTAAGCTTTTTTTGCATAGGTATTCCTTTTTACACTCTTTATTGCTTTACAATACACAGGATCTAACAAACATCCCAAACGGCATTGGGTTTACAAATAAGAAAATTAAGACGTAAAAAGTATAAGCCGGAAATTTGTTTTCCATATACAAGGTGTTGAAATTTATAACATACAACGGCTTATAACATACAATAACTCCAAAATATATTTGTAGAAATTACTCAGAGAACCACTACCACAAGTTTGACCACGTACGTACAAAATACTCTGTATATTGCGACTAAAAATAATTTGCCATATTTTACTTAATTTCTGATTAGTGTCCCTTGGCATGAACAATTATTCAGACTTTTTGTAGAAACACTTGAAATGTACTTAGTTTCCATTTTGCAACCACTATGTAGAAACTCTTTTTATCCACACTGAAAAGGTTTTCCATTTCGTCTGTCACTATTCATTAACAATTTTATTACCACAACTTTCTTCTGTACATACAAAGAGATTATTGTTTATCGGTTGTTATTCGAGCAATGATCGTGTGGAAAATCATAAATCATAATTTTTCATGCAGTGATAAATCTCATGTACATTATGCGACACTTTTGAGTATTTTCAATTTCAATTTTAAAGTTAAGTGATAATTCGGAGCTGTTAATTTGCAGTGATTTCCCGAAAAAAAAATTAAAAGGCGTTAAATGCAAGGGAACATTTTTCCTTCGTGTTAAACACTCCATGTAGATTAGAAGGGAACAATAATTTATATGACTAAATACACTTTTTGATCTGTCGTCAAATAATAATAATAATTTCTAATTTTTTAAATAAAATTTAGTTAAGTATCAAGTTTATCGTTGAACTCCGAGCCGTAAATCGCACAGCTTTTTCTTCAATTTTTGGAACAAACGGTCAAAAATACACTAAATCTACAAATCAGCGGTGTGAGGTGTTAATAACTTAAATTTTTCTTTTTTGTTTAAACCCTGTTGATTAGAATATTTTTTCTGAGTCAAGAATTCCCCACGAACAAGCAAGGCTTATAAAGGAAAACTGAAGAAAGTTTTTCAACTCCCTCCTAGAAGAAGACCAATATTTCAAAATTCTAATGGTTGGAACAATCTGTTGGACGAAATAAAACAAAATTCCTGAGATTTGCAGATGATTCAACCATGTTTGCAGTGGCAAGATTTGTATCAGAAGAGGAAACGTCGGGCTTTCTGAATCGAGTTAAGATAGATTCATACGAAATATCCTAAAGAAAATTCAATGAGCAACTAAGACCCAGGAAATAATAAACATCGTTTTGCTGTAAAAGATAATAAAAACTAGTTGGATTTTTTTGCCTGTTTCTCAAAGCAGCCCAAATATCGGAAAATTTGTTTTTCTTGCCTGGTGGCTTTAGTGCCTAAAAAACATGTTTAGGCACAACGAAATGGATTTTCTGAGTAGTTGGTTTCCCTCTCTAGTTCAACAGTTCCCAAAGATCTGCATGCAATCTTTCGCGTTCGATCTGACCTCTGTACTGCATTTGATTGTGCGTTGCATGTCTGTTTAGTGCTTCCAGCCACCAAGATCAACCTTGGAGGAATAATTTTTTCCTTCGTTGAAAATTACGCAACACAACCGGCCAGGCACACGAATTCTTCGACTGTGAGTGCTTTATTTACTGCATTTGTGGGTGCATTACCGACAACACATAAATGTCGATAGCCACCCAAGTAACGTAATATCTTGTATCTCACGTCAGCGGGTTGTCAACGCATTTGCGTCTTGATCTGGGTCAATTCTTTTGCATAGTATCTTGGTGCACGGCCACGCCTTTTCCTAATCGCCAGCCTCACTTTGACTCACTACTTTTCATTTCATTATTACCAGTGTTTATCCAATGTCTTTCTTTTGCAGGCAGAAGTTGAATGGAAACAGTCGAATTTTCCTTTATTCCATTGGTAGTTGCAGTTTGGTTTTTTTTTGCACATAGGTAAATAAAATGTGTAAAAATCTCGTATAAGAAGGTTTTTTAATAAATTGATGTGCTCGTTTGCTTGATTAAAGTCTTTTTAAAAAAACTATTATTTTCGGGCAAAAGCTCGTTTTGTTTTTGGATGAAAACCACTAAAATGCTATTTTTAGAAATCGGTTTTAGTGGGTCAATTTGCGTAAGCAACGCAAATCGATCTCATCTAGGTGGATTCTTTCTTAACGGTTGCAACCGAAGGAATTAAAATCAGTTTGTGAAATTTCGTCAAATTTTACGGCCAGCGTCAAGCAATAAACATTTTCCTACACGTATCTTTTTATATGGCGATATTAATACGAAGTTATGGCACTTTTAAAGGGGACGTTCTCAGATTTGCGATAAAGCTTGCTGGTAATGGGCAAAGGGAAAGTGCCCGATTTTATAGCACTTGAATTAGGCGAAAGTATTTAAAATTTACGGTTTCTTGTGGGAAAAACCGATTTTTACAGTGTTTTATTGTCTCAATTGCGCATTGAACTCACTTTAGTACAACTTCTAGTAAATCATCAGCAGTTTTGTACATGCTGGGCAAAACTAACGCATTGCTCAACTCGTCCCTAACTTTGACTGTGAACATTGTTTCAGTCGATGATCTGATTTGAATCAGTTTTTGATAGAATCATTAAGTTATAAATGGTATTTAAATAGTGCCATTCCTAGTTTTTTTGGTCAGAATCTAAACCTGTGTGCGGGTAATATCGAGTAGCTCAGACAGAAAAAACGTGTATGTATATCATAGCCTGATGCTTTCTGAGTGTTTTGAATCGATATTCGTCTGTTTGTCTTGAGCCGTTACAGAGATACACATTTTTCCTGGTTGGTCACATTTTCGCACGAAATTTATTTACTTTTTTTAATTCCGTAAAATCCTGGCCAAACAAAATTGCGAGTGAACTCCACTATTGACTTTGGGAAAGTTTTATTCGCGTTCAACGGCGGAAAGAGTTAAAATCGCTCTTCACTTTAGAAATGCACCACTCTAAAGCTAACCAACTTAGCAAGCTTAGACTTGCAAATAAATGAGCGCTAGACTCCGTTTTACAGCTCTGAGCAGTTTCATCAACATTCGACTTCAGGAAGATTCTGAAATTAATTATCAACTTCTATAGAGAGCATCAAAAGAATTGCATTAATTGACTTAGAAAATTCACAACATTTGAACTTTGAGCAAGTTAACAAATAAATCCCACTGTCGATTTCGGAAAAGTTTCATTTGCCTTCAACGGTGGAAAAAGGTAAAAATCGCCTATAAACTCCTCTAGTGCGCAAATAAGGAGGATCAGCACGACCTAACTTTAGAAATTCACAACTTTCAAACCAAAGGACTTAGCAACTTTAGAGCTGGGAAAAGTTTCATTAATATGCGACTTGTGGAAGACTCTGAAATCAATCATCAACTTCTATCGATATTCAAAAGTTCAGTTTAGGAAGATTACAAAAGTTTAAAAAATGTTCTGAATAGAGCGAGTGAAAAAAGTCACTGCAATTAAATTAATCAGACCCAAGTCCTACGGTTTACTTATATAGAAAATCAGAAGGTCTATAAAGGAGGGCCGGTAGCAAAAAGCGTGATTTAATAATAATTTTATTGCAATAATGACCGTAGGGGGAGGTGCGAGGGCGCCTTCGAACCGTGAGAACTCGTATTGTACTGACCGAATCGGAATCGGATCGACAACAAATTTACATTTAATTTCCTAAAATGGAATGTTTTACGCGCGGCTTTAGTCCGGGGAAATATTCCGAAAAGCCGCAAAATATCGCAAATCGTTCAAGGTTTACAAATCGAAAGAAGTTTTTCATTGTGAACACGGTACACAATTAAAGTACACATGTACACATACAAGGATTCTGCAAATAAGAAAGCCAAATGCTCAAAAATAAACATACAAAAAATGCGAAAAATCATACAACTCGTGCGAAAATCCAAAGCAATACAAGGATACAAAGCGTTAAATACAAATTGATTTAAAACCGGTGAAAAATAATTTGACTATTCCCATGCAAATCTCCACTTTAACTGGACTATTATCCAAAGTGACTTGAAACCTATCGGCCAGAAAATGGAGAACGCATTGTATAAGGTATCGCGCCAGTCGCTTACGCACGATGGCAACTTTATGGACGATTGTTTCGAAATTACTGCCATTCGTTTTCTTGTTTGAATCCTGTTTATCTATTGTTGTACACGGTGTTTAAACAACATTGAATACCTATAAAGCCCGACTAAGTTCTCGCGTAAATCGAACCCGTAAATGACTGTTTGCTCTTTGTGTATGGCATTTATTTTTTCGATTATATATTCTGTTTTCTGCCGGTTCGTGAGAAACGATGAACGTATTTTAAATAACTTTTTTATATTAATAAATGTTTCTCATTGGTCGCCCCTTCTCAAACAAGACTGTTGATTGAGAAACGATAAACGTATTTTAAATAACTTTTTTCATATTAACAAATGTTCCTCATTGGTCGCCCCTTCTCAAACAAGACTGATGATCGCCTTTAGTTGACGTTGGTCCAGAACAAGAAAAAGTTAAGACACTAATTGAGAAAGCGTCAAGACAGACTAAGACGCAACGAAGAAAATTGTTGCATTTGCACCCAAATAGCAACCTTGCTAACGGCAAATTAAGTTACACAAATTACACTTGTTTTAACTAATTGTTTAAACTTAATGAACCTTACGAATGGGCACACGAATTGCTGCAAACACATCAAGAACACACTGATGGAAATAATTTATTTAATTACCCCAAGGCCGTTATGTTTGAGCGAAAAACGTGCAATCGGCAAGGATTTTGGATTCCATCCATTCTTGCAATATGCGGCAATTAAGAATCTAGCACTTTGTATATTTGCGAAAAAATGAAAAAAATTTGATTGATATGATCAAGCCAAGAGCGGTGTGTTCTAGATTGCGTAGATAATTGTGCGATAAATAAATTCCAGTTGGAAAAGTTGGAGAATTCAAGTAATTTGGCAGCATCTTGCAAAGTCGTTCAAATGATACAAAAACAATCTATAAAATCTCGTATAAATCCGTCAATCGCATGTGATAAGTTTCCCAGCGAACGCGGCAAACAAATTACGTTTTCTAATTAATCAGCAAACAGTTTCGAGGAATCGGAGACTAACAAGCCGGAGAAAAAACAACTGACAAATATAGACAGCACAATAGACTCATTACGGCCACTCCAAATAGGTCGAAAATAAAATCTACAAGAAGTCGATGGCCGTTTTTTCGATCAGATGTCGGTACTGATCCAGTAAAGGATCTAATACCAGTTGTTAATTAGATAGGTATAACAAGCGCCTTACTGGTAGCCCGTCGGTTCTACTCTTTCCTTTTTCAGAGGCAGCCTATAATTTTATTAATTAATTTCTAGATATTCTCGCTGTTTTCATGCGTTTTATTATACAAAAATTGCCTCAAAAACTCAAGCAAAAAGCTGCTTTTGTTTGGAAGAATAGTATAAATGAAGAAATAGAAGAAAAATCCTGCTTCTGAAATGCGACGGTAGTCAAAGGCGATTATCGCATCCACTCTGAGAACATTCCTTCGCCGTCAATACATTGACTAACAATATCGTAATTAACTGTTATGTTATTGATTCCACAATTTTCCGTTTTAAATCATTGTCTGTGGCATATTAGTCGTTACATAGAAAACATTTTAATCAATCGTCAATAAATCCGAATGCCTGACCGAGCAAAATCTAGGAATCATTAATTCGCGTCAACAATCCGCTTTTTTTCCACTTCTTCTTCTTCAGCGGCTAATCTAATAAACAGTAAAGTATCAAGGATTGAGCAACACGCACGATCATTAGCGAATACACACAACGCATAAATGTAGAACAAATTGCGTATGACGTGGATGGATAATGCCAAGTACGGGACGAGATGAGGCCTCGTTAAATGCGGAGGATTTTTTCAAAAATTTTAATTAAATAGAAAAATCATCGGCTTATGGTGCTGGCCAATAAATCACATTAAAATTGTTTTAGTGAGGTTGCGATCGTTGCATGCCAGCGACCGATAACGTGCCTCGAAAGGAGAAACTATGACTTAAGACCAAACGGTGTCGCTTTATTGGTGGCCATAAATTCACCAGCCTCTAGGAAGAGGATTCCTCGTTTTTCTTGCTGAGAAGGAAGTTTACCAACATTTCGTGCTAGATGCTTCATGCACTTATCTAGAAAGAGTTAATGCGTGTGCTAGTGGAAGTGAACATTTCTACTGTCTTTCTTCTACCAGTTTTGTCATTTGTAATTTTTCTTCTTCTTGTCTTCATTCTGCTTCGAGTTGACACATGCACTTACCTAAACGAGTTGGAGCCCGTGCTTCAAAAATATGAGTTTTCTTGTCGCTGTCTTCTACAAATACAGTTTTGCTAGTAGCTTTCTTCCACAAGTTCTGTCAGCAGAAGACGTTTCCGACGAAGAGTTTACCAACATTTTGTGCTAGTTGGCTCATGGATCCGTTGTTCCGTTGTTGGAAAAATGTTGATAACTTTTCTTACATGTTTTTAGATATATTTTAAAGGTCATTTGTTAAAAATATTTTTAAAATTTCTTCAACATTTCAGAATTGTCTAGTTTTAGCCAAGTTACTCTTTCTTCTAAATGCTCAGATTTCTAAGGTTTCACTTAAGGTATTTTCAGCGAACAATTATGAAATAAATTTCGAATTCTTCGTCCTTTTTTTGGAACGAAAATCTAATTATTTTCTATCAAAAAACTAACAGAATAAGCGAAAGTTTATAACAGATTATTTGGAAATTTTGTCACCTCCAACTATCTGAAGACTGAAGAAGAAAAAATGTGTTTTTTTAGTTTTGAATCATTTTTTTTCCTTTACTTTCTACTCAAAAACGCTAGAATAAGATAAATTTATAGCTTTGTAAAAATTTTACCAAAACTTTTTTCAGCGTCGAATTCGGGACAGAAACGTAAATAAATTCCTCCCGTTTTTTCCGAAACCACTAAGGTTTCCTCTAAAACCGATGACAAAACTAAAAGCTTTTAATAGAAAACGCAAAAAAACATTATTTACTAATTATTTTCTTCTTTTCTGACAATAATGGGGTATTTTGAGCAAAAAATGACCAAATTAATTATATTAGAAAATTCGCCTCATTCATCGGTTTGCAGAGAACTTTAGAAAATCCATTTCAGCTTAGAATTCGCACCAAAACCAAATAATTTTATTCAGGTTTTTACCGAAAGTAATTAGAATTGTCTTGAAAAAACGACCAGAGCAAAAGTTTACAAAAAAATATTTGGAAACTTCGCCGCCCTCATCGCTCCGAAGATTTTTAAAGTTCCTTTAAATTTTCAGGTCATTCCAGTTTTAGCAAAGTTTCTATTGAGCAATTCTTTCTACGCATAAATCGCATTGTTTCTTAGTTTTACTTAAAATACTGACAATCTTCAGGTATTTTCTGGAAAAATTATAAGATAAGTTTTATTAACACTCGCTTTCGTAACCGCTTTGCCAAAATTTTTGGAAAACTTTTTGCAGCTTTGAATTATGGACAAAATCGTAATATTTATTTCTGGGTCTTTTCTCAAAAATATTTCCCCGAACTGAAAAAGCGCAAGTTTATCAAGAAACTCTTGGAAACTAGAGTTCCTTCACTTTTAGGTCAATATTTCTAAACAACACTGTCTCTAAACAGAAAAACCGCGGTTTTCCTAACGTTTTACTGTAAAATAGTGGCAAACTGAATCTTCTATGCAAAACAATTGCATGATGACCCTTTTTTAGATGTGAAAATTCCAGTCTCGGGTCTCGAAAAGCTTTAATAAATCACTTATGACTCATGAACCGATGAGTTATAACTCGTTAACTCAGAGAGCGGCAACAACTCAATAGCGCAACTCAACACAGTGTTACCCAGGCCTAGTATGAATGGCTCCAATGGTTCTTGAGAAACCTCGAAAAAAGCAGCGTCATGTTCAAGTGGATTTTGCAACTCAAAAAAAAAACCACGCAAATCTAAAACTTCTTGAATTCAA